CGCTGGGGTCTGCAGAGTGACCAGGGGGCCGCTGGGGTCCCAGAGTGGCCAGGGGAGCCACAGAGTGGCCTTCACCCTGGGGTGGCCGGTGTCCCCAGCAGCAGCGTTGCCATGGCAGCCCGCACGGCGCGGGAGGCTGGCAGCGGTGCTGCACCCACCACCGGTGACGCAGGCAGCCCCGGGCGGGCGGGCAGCGAGTTATTTTAGACACTGTCCCATCTGGAGGCTTCCAGAGCCAAAGAGGAGGGATTTGGCTGTCACTCTGACGCTGCACTGCCAGCAGCTGTTATTGAAAGAGGGGACGGGCCCCTGGCAGGACATGCAGCCCCAAGACCCTCACGCTACATCCCCTGCCCTGAGCACATCATTCCCTGGGCAAATCCTCCTCCCACCCCACCATCCTGCTGCTGYTGCATCCCAAGAGCCCAGAGAAGCAGGGATGGCTCCAGAGTGGTACCTGGCCAGGGTAACCACTTGCTGGCCCATGCACGGCTTCAAGGCCAGGCTGGATGTGGAAGAGCCTGATCTATAGAGGAAGGCTGGAATGAGATCATCTTTAACATCCCTTCCAAACCATCCTGTGATTCTGTGATTCCTCCCTCACTGCCTACCAGGGAATACTGCCCCTTTCACCAAAATCCAAAGGCTTTGACCCACCACTGCCATTCCAACAGCAGGGCCACATTTCTCTTCAGGAAATCCGACATCCTCCCCACATTTCCCCCTCCAAACGCCTCCAGGTGATACCAAGGATGGCCCCCTGTGCTCCTTCCCAGGCAGCACCCAGAGCCCCCTGCCCCAGGCACTCACTGGTGGTGCTCCCCGACATCTGGATGATGCATTTGGATTCCCGGCTCATCTCCCGGGAGTTGAAGGGCCGGACGCGCACTGCCACCTTCACGGACGCTCCCGCCATGGCGCCGGCCGGGGGTGGGTCCTGCTAGCGAGGAGCAGCGCCTGTCCTGCCAAAGGGGACAAGAGCGGGTTAGGAAAGCTGCCATTCCAATCCCCCACATCTCTGTGCCAGATGAATGGAAAGCCTGTGCAAGGAAACCTCCTGGGAGCACTGTTCTGCCTCTGCCCGAAAGATGACATTTTGTTTCGTAGCTCGTTTTACCTCTCCCTTCTCCCCGCTGTATCTCRGTTCAGGACCCCCAGCTCAGCCCCAGGGCAGCACTCCATCACCCTGCAGGCACCCAGAGCAGTGGACAGAGCTTTGTAGGCACAGCCAGCACCAGCAGAACGTGAAGGAGCAGCTTCTCCATCCCCCTGGCATCGAGCAGGTACCCCCTCATCTGCAGGCGAGCCCACAGCCCCCTGCCCCCTGCCCGAGCCTCCTGCCCACATCCCCTGCCCCCTGCCCGAGCCTCCTGCCCCCGCTCCAGCAGCACAGAGCTGCATTCCACCAGGAGAGGAGGCGGCTGCTGGACACAGCCCCTGGCATGTGCCTCCCATTCAGCTCCCACAAAGCAGACGTGCAGCATCAGCACCAGCAGCCCTTCCTGGGARGCCAGTGGCCATCACACGCAGCTGAAGCTCCCAGTTTGCCATCATTTTCCCACTGCTTTTGTTAAAAGATTGTTATTAATAATCACTATTATTATTATTATTAATCACMAATCTCACAGGACGAAGCAWACCGCTCACTGCCATCTCCCAGAGYGGTTKCCCAYCCCAGYRCTGCTGCCCACGTGCTCTGCAGCCCATCCCCACCTTCCCTGAGCTGCCTCAGCCAAACCTCAGGAGCATTGGGCAGAAAATGACGCTGGGATCCTTCCTCTGATTGCTGCATTCTTCGAGATTCTTCTGGACCTGACAAAATCCATTCCTGCCTCCTAATGTTTGTCCCTTTTCCTGCTTTTCCCTGCTGCTCCCTGTGCAGAGCCTGCTRGTGAAAAGGGAGTGCAGGACCCCTCAGAAAATTGGCAGGAATCTCTCTTGTGGCATCCCACCTGAAAAGGCGTTGTAAATTCCCTTGCCTGGCTTTGCCAGCTGGGTGCTTGCTCCAGGAGAAAGGAGATCAGGGAGGAATGAGATCGTTAGGGTCTGGTTACATGGGCCATGACCAGAGGGAAATGGAGCAGCAAGGATGGATCTCGATCATGAGATGCGTTTTCCCTTAACGCAAATGAAAAATTCAGGAGAATTTGTGGAAAAGAGGGCGGGGGAAGGGAAGCAAAAACAAATCCACAGAATAGAAAGTATCCCAAGAGAAGGGCATGGCTTTAAAACCATCTGAGGTTTGACCGCTCTGGTTTGATCTCCAAGGGGGTGAGAGGAAACCACAAGCAGGTGCACTCATGGCACAGTGGAAAAACTTGAATCAAGAAAGCATTACTGCCCTTCAGAAACCCTTTGAATATTTTAAAAGTGAGCTGGCATGTCCAACAGTAGGAGGAGGACAAAGCTGCTTCTGTTGGAGTTCCCAAACCCTCCTCTTATCTTCCCGCTGGGATGGCTCTGGAGCTCCTGCTGCRCTCAGCCACTGGTCACACCCATAAATCCCAGGGTTCAAGCATTTGATCCCAGGCTTTCTTGAGCTTGGATTATTTTAAGCAGATGTTTAACACCACCCTTGAGTCCCTAAGCCAGCGAGTGGGCTGCTGCGTGCCAGTGGCCTCRATGGGGGAAAGGAAAAATCAAACAGAAATGGTTGCCAAAGAGGAATGAAAAAGCTGTTTTCCCCATAAATGATGGGATATATTTCCACGTGGAAGGGCTGCATCGTCAAGATGTCATCAGCTCGGGCTGCTCCACCCTGTGGCACCGCTCAGGGACAATGGATTCATCCCCAGGCTAAATCCCATCCACACCTGACAGCTGCCCATGTCAAACACTTCCCTCTGGTCTCCAGTCAGGGCAGCTCCCTTCCCCCAGCTCTGCAGCCTCTCCAGCCTCCAGGGCTCTGCAGAGGTGGCTCAGGCCCCTGGACTGCTTCCTCCTGCACTGCCAGCAGAGCAGCACACCCAGCAGTGAGCCTGCCAGCCCCGGGACCACCTGCTGCCAGCCCCGGGACCACCTGCTGCCAGCCACGGGCCACCTCAGCCGCTGCCCTTATCCCCTCCCACCCTGTGCCACTCCCAGCCTCCCAGCCCTATCACTTCCCATGAAAAAGCTCTGCTTTCTCCTTTGAACCACTTCTCCATGTGGCTCATCCTGCYGTGTACCTTCCACTGGTGCTGCTTTCCTTTCTGTGCTTTCTTCTGCCCGGTCAGCCCCACACTCTGTTCCTCCACCCGGAGAAAGCCACTCCTCGCCAGCAGAACCATTTCCCTCTCCCTGCCATCCACAGCCCACATCCCAGTGTATTCCCATCAGGCTCTCCTTGCCCAGTGGTGTGAGCTCCTCTCCCTGCCAGTTTTCCCTGACGCAGAGCCCCAGTTCCWTTTTCTGCTCCATCCATTTCCTTCAGCTTCCTCGGTTGGCAATGCGCTGCTTCCCTCTGCTCCTGGGCAGCTCTCCAGCTCCATCCCTGCCACGGCAGCACAAGGACCCCAGGCAACGCCGTGTGCCCTTGGGGGTCACCAGCAGACACTGACCCCGCTGCTTCTCACCCTCCTTTCCTTCCCSTGACTCACTTTCCGGGCTCAGCAGGGAGGAATTCAACCTGCACCCATTTRATGCAGGAGCACACTGAGCCACGTTATCCCTGGTCAGATGAGAGGGCCCAGGCTGCAGCCAGCAGGGCCAGGGGCAGCGCCCTGCAGCCTGTGAGCAGCTCCAGCCCAGCCAGCTCACCCTGCCTGGGGACAGCCAGCCACCGCCCGCCTAACCCGCTGCCATCGAGAGAAATTCAATAAGCCATGACCAGCCCTTCGCTGGGAGCGGGCCAGCACWGAAACCCCGCTCCCTATTCCCTCCCAGAGCCACCCCACACACGGGAGGCTGCAGAGAAGAATGGCCAAGTCCACACCTTTGGATCTGCCCCCCAATTCTCAGGGCATCCCTTCCCCCTCTCTTCCCCTGCAGCCTGCTGGCTCTGCSCATCCCTGTGACACACCGGTCACCCCCAGTGAGGAGCCACGATTAACCGGATCAACCAAGATTAATTGGGCAGAGATCAGCTAATGAAACCTCTCTCAAGTGCAATGGCTACCAACTGGCAGCCTTCTCCTGCGGAGAGGTGACCAACGGGACAGGGAGCATTGTCCCCAGGTGCCACCAACAAGAGAGCTCTTYCCCAAAGGATGCCAAGGAGATGCCACGCTGCCGGTCCCCAGCTCCAGCAAWGACGAGCTGCCTGCGCCCAGGAAACCCAAGGTGAATTTCCCTTTGTCTGCACGCACCAAATCCCACCTCACCTCGGTGCCGAGGGTGGACGCCCCSTCTGGTGCTCTCAGCAGCCGCCTGGCTTTGTTACGGCAAGCCCTTCCCCTGCACCCTTTGTTGGGGTCCCCCAGCTCTGAGTGGGACCGCGGGAGCCTGCCGTGCCTCTGGGGCMGCGGGGAGCATGTCACCGGATGACATGGCACCATCAGCGCCTGCCAGCCGAGCCGGGAGCGCTCGTCACCCACCCCCCGCCCCACACAAGGGCACGGGGCCGTGACAGTGCAGTTTTCCCAGAGCAGCACCTGCAGGCTCGGAGGACAGCCCAGGACAAGGGCAAGCGCCCCCCGTGCTCAGATGAAGTCCAGCCCCTGCCTCCCCAGTGCCACCACGGGCACCGTGCCCACCGCACCTCCCGCCCACCCCAGCGGGGGACGCAGCTTCAGGGCAGGGCTTGCAGCTCCCTGAGAATTCCCGTGCAGATTGGGTTTGATAGAAAATGTAAGGATGTGGATGAAGGGTTCTGCTCCCCATCTCTGCTGCAGARCAACCCCACCCGCCATCCCTGCTCCCGCCATCCTCCCTTCCCGACACTCACACCCAAAGCAGGGAAAGCTGCTCAGGAAAGGCAGTGAGCTCCAGAGGGTGCCCAGCATTGCCGGGCACGGAGAAGGGCAGCCGGGGAGGGGGCAGACAACAGGTCCCCACGCGACCCAGGGCTGGAGGGGCTGCGGCTCTTGCCACACACATGCTGGGAGGCGGAGGGTGGTGGCAGCATCTTTGCCAGCACCAGCTGCCACCTCCCAGACAAAATGGAGGTCAGCAGCAGCACGCCGAGATGGCAGAGCCACCACACCCCTGTCCGTACCCGGGGGAGGGGGAGGGTCTGCTGCCTCCCTGTCCCCCCAGAGCCACCGAGGCACCTGCGCGGGGCTGCTTTGGGTGCGGGGGCATGGAAGGACGCCTGGCTGGGGGGGTGACAGGGGAGATGCTCGGCGGGTTCCTTGTCCTCCCCGAGCCCTGATGCTGTCGCCTGGGWCCTGAGCAGGCAGGAGATCGGCTCACATGGGGTCTGCAGGATCTGGGGGAGGGGTCACTGCCCCGAGAGGGAAGAGGAGGAGGAAAAGGAGGAGGAGGAAGCATAGGAGGAAGACAATAGAACAGGTGCAAGGCTGCTCCCTGGCAACCTGGATGCCCAAGCGCGGAGCTCTGTACTAGCCCTGCGCCCTGGGAGCTGCCCCTTGAGCAGCCAGCAGCCCGCCCCGGCCCGCAGTGACATGGCGGCCCTTGCCCAGCCGCCCCACAGCGCAAGGTCAGGGCAGCTCTCGTCCTTGGGGGGCMAGAAGAGCCCCAGCATGGCAGCGCCTTTGGCCGCTCCCCGGGCGAGAGCCCCAGGTGGGGCATCGCCGCCTCCCTCCAGCGCGGCTGGCGCTGACTCTGAAGCATTATGATGATGATGACGCAAGATGGCTCAGCTGCATGAGCAGAGCATCTGCCCCGGAGGGAAGAGCGGGGGTGGTTCTGGGGTGACAAGGGGTTCCTGTGCCCCCCGCCACGGGCTGCGGGGATGGCATCCTCCCCCTTCGCACCCCGGCTGGGGCCGGGGCGGCAGAGGCGTCTCCCCGTCCGCGGGCAGGCCCCCCCTTCCCCCGTCTGGATCCTTCTGGAAGACGGGGCGGCACCCGGCGGTCACCGTGCTGGGGACCCCAGGGCAGTTTCCCCGCACGCACGACTTTGAGCATCGGGGGGCCCGGCACAATGGCCATCGGCCAGAGCCCCCAGCCCCGCCGGACCCTCGGGGATGCGCATCCCGCTCCCACCCGCCACGCCCGGCCCCCGCCGGGGCCACGAGGGGCGGCACCGCCACCCCGGAGCAGCCGCCCTCCCCGCCTCGGCCAGCGCCCCGGGGTCACGGCGGGGCTGCCCCGTCCYTCGCGATGCCGCCCGGCCCTACCTGTGCTGGCCGTGGCCGTGCCCGGTCCGGAGGGGCGCAGCGCTCAGCCGTGAGCGGGGGCCGCCGGCATGAGGCCGACCCGCGCGGTGCGATGCGGTCCTGGTGGCGGTGCCGGTGTCGGTGCCGGTGCCGGTGCGGGTGGCAGCGGCCCCGCCCCTGCGGTCCCCGCCCCACGCTCTGGTTGGCAGCCGCCGCCGCCGCCGCCGCCCGGAGGGGGACGGGGGGACCGGGAGGGCGCGYTCGGGGATGCAGCGGTGACGTCAGCGCATCCCCCGGCCCCGGGCGAGCTGCGGATCCGCCGCAGGGGCGGGGCGGGGCGGGGCCGCGCCGCTATCGCCAGCCGTCACCCGGCAACCGGCGCGGTCCCGGTGCCCCSGTACCCCGGTACCTCGGTGCCCCGGTACCCCCGGCCCTGCTCCCCGGAGCGGTACTCCGAGCAGCGGCCCCCGCCGCGGCTTCCTGTGCCCCGGCCCCGGCGCCGCCAGTTCGCTCGTCCGTCCGCCGAGCCCCCGCCCGCCGCCCGGGGCACGGCCGTTCCTGCCCATCTGCGCCCGGAATTCCGAGCCAGCGCAGAAAGCGGATTATTCCTTCGCTGCCAGCTGTTTCCAGCAGCACGGCCACCCTCGTCCCACGGCAGCCGCGAGGCCACGCGTCCCCTCCCCGCCCCAGCCGTGCCCCAAATCTCTCTGGAGCACAGGCAACTGGGTCGGCTTCTTCACCCGATATGTCGTCATGACTGTGGTGGGATGATGGCTGGGCAGCGAGGCTGTCCCGAGGCTCATTGTGGCTTCCATCATTTGTGAGGGAGCGGACACATCTGCCCCCAGCTCCTCTCAGGAATAGCCATCCAGCTRTGGGGCAGATGTGCTCTCACCTGGCATCGTTGCTGTTCCCATGCCGCTGTCCCATGTGTCTTCAGCAGCAGCCACGGGTGCCAGCTCTGCCAGGKGGGAATTCTCACCCCTGTGCTGGCATCCCTAACCAAAGCTTTGTTCACTGAGGGGCTGCTCTGAGCAGGGACCCACTCATGGATCTGCTGAAGCTGGCAGCGGGCAGCTCGTTTGCATTTCAGGGTATGGATGGCAGAGAATGTGCCMGAGGATGGGCATGATGCAATGGGCTGTGGGCACACTGAAATGCCACATGGGCCTGTGGCAACACCGGGATGCCCTGGGATGCTCATGATCCAGGCTGAGCCTGCAGAGCACCTCTGTGGCAGGGACTGTGGCCGTGTCTCTGCCTTGGTGCACATGACTCCACTGGCCAGCCTCCTTCAGGCTGYCACCCTGCCAGACATCCCTCTGGACCAGCAAGGCAGGTCCCTGGTCAGGGTGCCCTGATCAACAGGAATTTTGTGCTGCTATGACCATGGCAGCTGTGCCACACCGGTCCCCTGGCACAGGATCTGGGTGCCCAGAGCAGGGATCTATCTGCTGCGATGCTGTTGGGAAATGTTAGCCCTGGTGTTGTGGGGGCCGTGGGGACAGGGATTGCGGGGTGCTGACGAGCCCCAGAGGCTGGTGTACCTGGGGAGCGATGCCCCAAGCACTAGCAGGGGGGCTGCCCCCAAAATGAGGGGCCCAAGACAGCAGGCTTAGCACTGGTGACACATTAACCAGAGCAGAGGAGGYGACCAGGGGTAGAGTCCAGACTGGCAGGGGGAGCACTCAATTGTGGGTCAAGGTCCATGGGGACACTGGACACTGCTGGCACAGGATGCACTGTGCTGCAGTGCTGGCTGCTGCTCAGGCTGCTCCTCTTCTCCGGGCTCAGCTCCTGGGGACATCCTGCCGTGCCATGGCCACCAGCCTGCTCCGTGTCCCCCCACCCCAGGAGCTGCTCCGGCCCCTGGCCGTGCCCGACAGGCTGCTGCTTGGGCCAGGGCCCAGCAATGTGCCCTCCCGCATCCGGGCCGCGGGCGGTCGGCAGCTCCTGGGCCACATGCACCCTGAAACGYTGCAGGTGAGCTGCCCCAGCCCAGTTTTCCTCCCCTCCCCTCCTCTTCCTCACCCCCACGAGGGGCTGGAACAGCTTTGCTGGGGCAAGAGGAGCAGTAGCAATGCTGGCCAGCGTCCCTCTGCCGCAGGTGATGGATGAGATCAAGGCAGGCATCCAGTACGCCTTCCAGACGCAGAACCCACTGACCCTGGCCCTCAGCGGCAGCGGCCACTGTGCCATGGAGGCCGCCCTCCTGAACCTGCTCGAGCATGGTGACACCGTGCTGGTGGCCATCAATGGCATCTGGGGACAGCGTGCCGCCGATATTGCCAGGAGGCTGGGTACGCCAGGGACRGCGGGATGGCATGGCAGGGCTGAGGGGACTGGGCTGGAAGGCAGGGTGCCCTGGTTTGCTSTCCCCATCCTGGCAGGGACCGGTGACATGGCTTACAGAGCAGAGAGCACTCCAGGTGTTTTCCAAGAGTGATGTCCCTCCATTTAGGACACTTTATGGCTTTTCCCCTGGGCAAATCTGCAGGAGGCCACACCCTGGCAGGCACCTGTGCTCCTGGTTCATGTGTGACCTGCTTCATGGAGCAGGTGARTGCCGTGCTTGGGGAAGCACGCCCAAACCTCACTGTCCTCTGCCCAAATTCCTCCCAGGAGCCAATGTCCATGAGCTGCTGAAGCCCCCGGGCGAGTACTTCACTCCACGAGACATCGAGCAGGTGAGTGCTGGCCGCTGTGCAGAGGGCACAAGCTGATGTCCAGTGTGGTCAYCTTCCCCCTGTGTCACACAGGGCCTGGTGCAGCACAAACCCTTGGTGCTCTTCATCACCCACGGCGAGTCCTCCACGGGCGTGCTGCAGCCACTGGAGGGGCTGGGCGAGCTGTGCCACCGGTCAGTGTGTGACAGGCACCCACAGGGACTGAGGGCACCCAAGGTCACCCCTGGGGATTGGGGCCTGGGGATTTACATGTCCTGGGCTTTTCTCAAGCGGTTGGTGCCRGTGACACTCGCAGCCCCTGTCGGGATGCCGGGCTGTGGGCAGAGGCGTGGCCAGAGGAGGTGGCCGGAGCACCGGGCTGAGCTCTGTCCCCCCACAGGCATGGCTGCCTGCTGCTTGTGGACGCTGTGGCATCGCTCGGGGGAGCCCCCATCTTCATGGACCAGCAGGGTAAGAGCCCCAGTGCCAYCATGGGCAACCAGGGGACAGAGGGGCTCATGCCAGGGACAGGGAGAGAGAGCAGTGGGATCCGCCTGCATTTTGGCTAGCAGCACTGCAAACTGCRTCCAGCTGCATCCAGAGAGCCTTGGGGGACCACCAGCAGCGCCAGGGCCCCCCAAAGCAGCCTGAACACGAGTGGGACCTGCAGTGGGTGCCATCCTTGTGCTTCTCACCCGCCACTCACAGCTAGGTGGGAGGGSTCAGCGTTTTCCTGCCGGGAGCCTCTGATTCCTGAGGAGTTGTTTTCTCTCTCGGGCAGAGATTGATGTCCTGTACTCGGGGTCCCAGAAAGTCCTCAACGCACCCCCCGGCAGTGCCCCCATCTCATTCAGCGAGCGAGCCAGGTAAGGGCAGCCCGGTCTCACCGGRGAGGAAGGCGATGGGGCTGGGAGAGCTGTCACCTCTGTCCTTTGCCTGCCACCTGCTTCGGCGTCACTCTGTGCAGAGCATGCCCAGCAGCAGTGCTGGGGGTAGAGCCCATCCCATCCCTGGGCAGTAACTGGGAGCTGGAGCCAATCTCTGAGCTCGCTTTAGGGCAGTCCYCCCTCCCATGGGTCCGATCCCACCTTGGAGCGGGTGGGGTCAAGGTCCGACCTCTCCCCAGCTCTGTTTCGCCAGGGAGAAGATGCTGAGGAGGAAGACGAAGCCCCCGTCCTTCTATCTGGACATGGGCTGGCTGGCGAACTACTGGGGCTGTGACGGGGAGCCACGGAGGTGAGGGCGGCTTCTCTGGCGACAGACGGCTGCGAACGCTCCCCGCCCAGCCTGSCTTTGTCCCGGCTCGGGCAGGGCTCAGGCCCTGCCTCCCCATCACCCTGTCGGCTGTCACCGCTCCCCGCACTGGGTGATGAGGAGGAGGGGGTGCCGTGCCTCAGTTTCCCCGACCGCGGGCAGGAGGCTGCCGTGCTGCGGCTGAGCTGAGCTCCTGTGGGTGCCTTTGAATTTTGGTTTGGTTATTTTTTTTTTTGTTTTTTGCAGGTACCACCACACGGCGCCCATCAACAGCTTCTTCAGCCTGCGGGAGGGCTTGGCCGTGCTGGCGGAACTGGTGAGCGGCGCCAGGCAGCCCAGGGGCGCGGAGGAGCGGCGGCTGCCAGGAGATGCCTGCCGGCAGCAGAGACCTTCTCTSTCCTCTCTGCCCGCAGGGTCTGGAGAGCTCCTGGGAGCGACACCGTGCCAACTGCAGCCGGCTGTGCCAGGGGCTGCGTGACCTGGGSCTTGAGCTCTTTGTGAAGGAGGAGGTGAGTGCAGGGCAAGCCTGGAGCAGGGGACRCAGCCCTGTGCAGCTGGAGATGTGCCTGGCAGCTTTTGATGCCAGAGAAAAGGCTCCCCCCTCAGCGATGCTCTCGGGTGGCAGCGTGCTGGGGTCACTGAGGGCCGTGGGATTGAGTCCAGTTTCTCTCTCAGARGGTCAGACTTCCCACCATCACCACGGTCAGGGTGCCCGAGGGCTACGACTGGAAGGACATCACGGCCTTTCTGATGGACAAGCATGGCATGGAGATCTCGGGGGGCCTGGGCCCCACGGTGGGCAAGGTGGGCAGAGTCCTCCCSTCCTGCTGCCCACGGCTGGGCACCGAACCCCGCATTCACTGCCACTCTCTGGCTGCCACAGCGTGTGCGGCTGGCTGTGTCCCATCGCCCCGAGCAACGCATAGCAGCACAACCGCACACAATCCCCACCTAATTGAATAACCGCGCACGTAATTAGCGGGGTGACACCTCTTTATGGGAACGGGGTGTTAAACACTATGGGAACGGGCTGTTAAACACGAGCAAGGGAGCTGGGCACGACCACTGGGTGTCCCCCTGCTCCGCACGGCACCGCCGAGGCGCGGACACGGAGGTGGGTCCTGCAGGGAGGCGCTCTCCCTTCTCCTCGCAGGTCCTGCGCATCGGCCTCATGGGCTGCAACTCCACCAGCGGGAACGTGGAGCGAGTGCTCGGAGCCCTGCAAGATGCCCTGAGGCACTGCCGGCGCAGCAGGCTGTGAGCAGCGCTGCCGGGGCCGGGGATATGGGGAAGGTGGCCTGGCACTGCTCCCCGTGCCTGGCTGCGGGCAGCCAGCAGCACAGGGACTGCACCGCCTCCCTGGGATGCTGGAGGAGCCACSGCGACACCCAGCAAGCCAAGTCACAGTGGGAACAAGCTGGAATAGCGGTGGGCATGGAGGAGAGGGCTGTGCTCAGCCGATGTGAGACACGGCTCAAAACCCCTTCTCTCATCACCCCAGCGGTCTGGCCCCACAGTTCTTTCCCTTCCCCTGGCCCCAGCACGTGGTAATGCTCAGCAAGCTGGCCGAGGGCTGGATGCAGGCTCTGACCATCAGTCCCTTCCCCTCCCATCACCACCAACCTCGGCAGAACGGCTGCCATCCCCCTCCAGGTTCTGCAGCAGGGCCCAGGTGTGCCAGGGCAGCCCAGAGGCTGTGCCTGCCCCCAGCTGCAGCACATGYGCTCACTCCCCCCTTGCCACCTTTCCTCAATAAAATGACAGAAGCACGCTGCTCTCCTTGCACCCCCCGGAGTTTCAGAACACCCCAGTGGGGCAGCAGCAGGGTCCCATCAACTCTGCTGAGGGATTTGCTGGCGGATCTTGGAGAGGAGCTGTGCCATTGCCGAGCGGCGCGCGCTGTCCTGGATCCGGTACACCTGGAACTAAAGGCAGGTGGGAAGTGAGGGGAGAGGGCTCCCCACGCTGAGCTCCATGCCCAGCACTGCCAGCCTCCCACAACCCCCACAGCGTGACAGAGGGCTCCTCAGAGGGCCAATTCCAGTGTATCCCAAGCTTCCCAGCACAGGTGGCTTCTGAAGCTGCCCGGCAGGATCAGCTGAAGGGCTGGGGTTACCTGGCTGAGCAGCAGGTCAAAGTAGGCTGTGTCCCAGTAGCAGCCATCCCTGGAGGGGAGCTGCAGGAGGGCTCGGGTGTCAGGGTCTGCCTGCCAGCTGCCACTGCACGGGTGGAGCCCAAAATGGAAGCGGAGGAAGCGCCGGGGGTCCCAGGCGAAGCTCTCGACTCTGTGGTAGAGGGAGGYGAGGTCCAGAGCCGCTCCTTGGAAGAGGTTTTCCTCTGGGTTCAGGAAGTGGGGCAGGTGCTGGGTAGCCAGGCAGCGGAGAAGGATCACCAAGAGCCTGTAGACAGAGCCTTCCARGTCCTGCCAGTCCTCTGGGGAGGGGAAGAGCTCCGTGCTCCACAGCAACACCATCTGTGGGGAGGGAGAGAGGAGCACAAGGCCTGATCCCAGGAAAGCCATCCTTCACACCCTGCAGGTCACCATGCAACCACCTGTGGGGCTGAATGCATGAGGGCTGGAGCAGATGATACTTTTCTGAAAGTCAGATGYGTACATCTGCCCATTTTCTTTGGAWAAAACCCTACAAAMCCCCCCAAAAYATCAAAGAATGCAACACAAAGCRAAACACASAGGAGCTGGARCCATTCTGTGAGMAAAAAACATCCTTGCATCCTTCTCAAGCCTTGGCTCTGAGAGCCATCGAAAGGCAAGGCACACCTGGATTGTGCCACCCGGTGCTGTCACCAGCACGGCCCCTTCCCAGGCCAGCATCATCATCAGCTGGCATGGCTCCAGAGTGTTGAAAACGAGTTGGGTGGGGAGAGGAAGCTTTTTGTCATCAGAAACGCCACCCTTAGCCCTGTCCAGGCACGTCCCAGCACACCGGGGCACGGGGCAGCCCACAGCAGGGCAGCACCACATCACCATCCCCAGCAGACATGGGCAGCTTGTGCCAGGGGTGATGCCCTGCACACCAGTGCACAGCCCCAGCTCTGAATGCAGTGCCTCCAGCTGGAGGCTGCGGTTCCACCCAAGGAAGAAGGATCAGAGCCCTCTAACCATGGCCAGCAGCAGCGTGCATCCTTCCCAGACACAGCCATACATCCCAGAGCACTGCAGGCTCTCATCCCTGTCGTTTGGGCTCTTCTGCAGGGAGCAGCCTTGGCTCTGCTTGCCCAGAGAGCCACAGTCCCGACCAGCAGAACCAACCTACCTTCAGGTGGTTGAAAGTGAGACCACCTCTCCCCCCCTCCCCTCCCCAGTCCTGGTCACGGAGCTGGTCCAGCAGGCGGAGGCTGTCCAGACGGGGCCCCTTCAAGGTGTCCACTGCTCGGAGCAGCTTCAGGATGGGAAGGTGGGTGGAGGATCTGGAGGAGGAAAGTGGGGTCTGGTGAGAGGGGAGGTGATGATCTGCATCCTCCCAGGGAGGGTGTACCTGCAGTGACTGGGTGTGTCTGTGTAGGGACCCCCCTGTGACACACGCGTGGTCCCAGTCATGCAGCACCTTGGCTCTACCTCCTGCACTCRCCTCTGGCAGGGCAGAGCTSGAGAGSTGTGRAGTGAGAAGGKARCACTGCTGAGCAGCTCYTGCCTTCCCAGGGYAGAACAAGAGCCGGGTGAAGTGGGTTTATGCTCCCCCGTGTGTAGTGGGGAGGGCTGCAGGCTGCCCCAGAGGGGAGGCTGGGTTGGTCCCCAGTGAGGGGCCGAGCATCCAGCCGGACCATCTTGTTCCCAAAATAAATATGAGCTGGCCCAGCTGGCTGCTCAACCCCTCCATGGGGCTGGGAAGTTGTGCTGGCAGGTAAGAGATGTCAGCCCAGCAGCACCCCATCCTGCAGCCCACCCTGAGGGGCACCTCCTCACCCTGCTGCTGCTGCTGCCAGGTGCCTGGGCTTGGCTCTGGAGCCCAAGCAGGGATCTGAGAGCTGCCTCCCTCCACAGTCAGGGTCCAGCTCCTGGGAATCATTTCAGGGGGCTCCTTCAGTAGCATCCCCCCCTCTTTTTTCGAGCTGTGTGAAACCTGGCCGAAGTTTTTCTCTCCAACACAGGCAAGAGCGTTTGGGCATCATGAGGGGGTGAGTCCAACTCCTGCTGACGCGTCCCCATCCTTTCCCAACCTCTTTTTGCCTGCACCCAGCAGCGCTGCCAGCCAGGGGGCATCCCTGGAGTAGGACCACCCTGCCGAGCACGCAGCCGAGCCTCTCACCTCCAGCAGTGTGGAGAGGCGGGGACAAAGTGCGCCTCTTGTGTGGCCATCCTGAGGCTGCCTGCAGGGAAGCCCCCGTCGCTCTGCCGCCCCCGCAGCCGGAGCGGCTCTTGCTGCCTCCTCACCACAGGAACGATGTCAAAGCGAACGGTCTTCCAGCTGCCGCGGATCAGCAGGGAGAGCTCCATGGCATCTTCCCGCAGGTTTTCGGCACTGATGTCACCTGGATGCAGAGGGTTTGGCAGCGGTGAGGAGGTTACCGCAGCCGGTCCCACAGGCTGAACCGGGTACGTGCTGCAACGCCTGTGGCCGTGTCCCACCCCACTCGACCCACCCCTCTCCAGTGCTGGGGTTTGGTTGCAGTGCCCCTGCTAAAACCCCTCTCTCAGCCATGCTGGGGTGGTTTCACAGGAAGAAGTGTCGTGGGGTTCAAGGTCAGGCACAGCAGGAAGTCTCCAGCCATGGAACCGAGCTGTGCTTCTGGGCAGCTGAACACTGCCGAGAAAAGGAGTGTGGGCCAAGGAAAAGGGATCAGGAAACATCCATTGATTTTGGGGGGTGGAGGATGATGCAGGTCATTGGCTTGACCATGAAAGAAGGAAGGGAATGGTAGACTTGCTGGGATTGGGTTAAGAGACTTTCAGACCCACTGGTGCCCTCCCATCAGCTTTTCACATGAGCTCTACTTCAAGAAGCACACTGGGAGATGAAAACGCAGGAAGAAGCTTTTGGAACTGCTGTGGGTGTTTCCAGGCTCCCTTCCCACCACGCCTTTCCCAGGACACTGCTGCCAGCTGATGCCCATGGGTTCACAGGGTCAGACCCATGCCCCAGGGCCCTGGTCCCGCTCTGATGCACTCCCAGCTCACTCTCCAAACCTCCTCCAGGGTGCAGGGAGCACTGGGAGGCCGAGAGGTGGAGGGTGGGTAGGTTAAACCAAACACACCAAGCCCTACCTGGGGACTAACAGCCCGGCTGGGTGAGTCCTGCACTCTCCGAGGAGGGTGCCATCAGCCCCAGGTGACAATGCCTGAGGATGACTCTGATGCCACAGGACAGCAGGGAATAGTTTACATCTCCCCTTCCTCAGCTGAGGGCAAAGCCTACCCCAGCACACAGCGAGGTGCTCGCTGACCTGCTCCTGCCGGCTTTGGGTGGGCCACAAGCCCAGGTACCCACGTCCCAGCATGTTTGCACAGGGATCACGGCCAAGCCGGGCTTCCCAGCAGCACTGGAGGCAGCTCCCGGCTGGGAAGCGCCCTGCCAGCGTACGCACCTGGCTGAAGCAGGAAGAGGCGTCGGCAGCGCACGATGGCTGAAACAAGGAGCTCTTTCAGGTGCTGCAGGATTTTGCCTGGAATCAGACACCTCACACCGGCTCCGTGCTCCATCACATCCACCGTACCAGTCCAGTCCTCCAAATCAGTCCCTGGAGAGCACACTTCCAGATAGCAGGTGTTGGGCTCTGAAGGATGCCCGGCTGGGGTGTCCCTGGTCCGGCGTGCCAGCACACGCAGGGCATCGCCGTCGATACGGAGGGGTATCTCTAGAGTGACAGCGTCCTCGGAGGCACAGAGAGCAAACTCCAAGGCTTCCAGGTTTCTGGCATAGTCCACGAGGAAGCGGGGTTCCCTGGCGTGGACGGTCTCCAACAGGGTGAGCAGGATGTCCTCAGCCCGCTGGAAATGCTCCATCCGCTGCCTCTCGCGGGACACGATCACCCCCAGGTAGCTGTGCCAGAGGGAATTGTTGGGGGAATTGTTGGCTTCCATGGCAGCCCCGCCGCTCTCTCACGCTGCTCCGAGCGGGAGTAAAAATGCGTGGGCAGGGAGGGCAGGGCTGCGGGAGGGCGGAGGGAGCACAGCCTTGGGTGTTGACGAGCGCCGGTGCTGGGTGACTCCCCGGGCAAACCCAGGGCGGGGACTGAGCCACGCCCGGGCTCCTCTTCCGCCACTTCAGAAGGGTCACAGCGAGTGCCAGGGCATGGCTGCGGTCTCCCACACCTCTCTCGGCACCGGGACTGCGTGCCGGCAGCGCCTGTCACAGCCAGCGACCCGCTGTCCTCCCGCCCTGGCCCAGCTCGGGTCATCCCGCCCGGCTGCTCCCAACCCTGCTGGAGCTGGGCCGTGCTGCGGGGCTGTGGAAGGGCCCAGAGCAGCCCTGCAGGCCCAGTGCCAGCCCCCAGGCTCCATGGGGCTCCAGATCCCCAGGTGCGGGCAGCCCCCGGCGCCTCTGTGTCCGAGCGAGCCCGCCCCGCTGCACCGATGGGCCCCGCCCGGGGCGCGGTTTCCTGCCGGGCTGGGGGAGAATCCACCCGGGAGGAGGCACAAAGCGGGGCTTTCTCCCCCAGACCCGCCTGGGGGAGCGGCGGGGCCGGTCCGGCCCGATCCGAGCGGTCCCTCAGCCCAGCTCTGCCCGGGCCGCAGGAGCCGCCGTTCCCCGCCCCACCCCGCTCGGTGCATCCCGAAATGCCTGCGCTCGTACCCTCAGAGCTGCCCTCGCTTCTCCCCATCGCCCACAAACCCCGCAATGGGATTTCCAGGCATGTTGTCTGTCTGAACGCCGCCACCTTCCAGCGGTTCTTTGCCGAGCTTCACGGGCCTGAGCCGGAGCTCAGTGATGATGGCTGCAAGGCTGGGCTCTCCCGGCAGGACACGGCGGTTCAGCCACTCCAGGCTTTCCTGCAAACTGACCCTGCCCTTGGTCCAAGCAGGATGGGGATGGGGAAGCGGGGGAGGCTCCGTGGCAGCAGGAGGGGACACGGGGAGCGCTTCTGAGGAGGGGAGGGACACGGCCATGGGGCTCACASCTGGTCCTGACACCTCCTTCTGCTCACTATTACCCTTTCATATAGCTCAGATGAGGTTTCTGGATCTTCCCAGAGTTATTTTCAGTTCGTCCTTGTGCCTCCTTCAATTAGGAACTGCCCTGCAGGTAGAAGTCTGTCCCTCATGGGCATCTGTCCTTCTGCCAGCCAGAAGGAGCTCTGCTTTCCACGAGAGCACAGGGTCAGAGCTTCCAGCTGCAGAGCATCCTTGAGCACCYGCAGTTCGAGTCACTGAGCCTGCAYTGGGCTTCTCACTGCCAGGAGGCTGGAGGTGCTCTGTGCTGAGGCGGGTCTCAGCCAGGTTTTAAATCCCTGACAGGGGGTGATGGGCTCTGCATCTCCTCACCTGAGCCTTGCATTTTGGGTTTCACCCCTTCTGAGCAGGGGATGCTCAGTGCCCGCACCAATGGGTGTCTCAACCAGGGCTGAGTGTGCAGGTCTTACCCTCCTCCATCACATGGGGAACAAGCTGGCTGCCATCCCAGAGAGGGACCAAAATCAACAGACCCCCATGAGAGTGGCTTGGGCTCATCCTGGAGAACGCTGAACCCAAGCCAGGCAAGACAGATCACTGCTCCATGCCCTGATGTGGGATTAAAAGGGCAGAGAGATGCAGGCCACCACTTTTCTCAGGCTGGTAGGGCATGGCTCCCTGCTGGCAGGGTTCTTGTGTGCCCTGGGAGCATCATTTTGCCATGGATGGAGTCCCCACTGCGGCAGCAGCCAGGACACTCCTGTCAGTGCCTGGCAGGAATGCTGGAGAGGGCTGTGGGCATCATGGAGAAGCTGAACTGAGAGCCAGGAGTGGAGGTCTAGGGAGATAAGGCTGGGCAGGACAGGGGAACATGGCCTTTCCCCCAATATTTTGGTGCTGGTTGGGTAACCGTGCCCTTCTGTCACAGTGACTGAGCCCACAGTGTGACCCTACACCCTGCTGCCAGAAATATGATGCCAAGAAGAGCGAGTGTGATCCACTCAGCTCACCTCTGCCTTTGACACCGGCACTTTTCAGACCTCTGGACGCTGCAATCAAGAGGCTGGTGCTTCAAATGCTGCCTTCTGCCCCTTCCTGCAGACTGGGACCTCTCCCTTTCCCCCTCTTTCCTCTTTCCCCATTTTCCCCTCTTCTCCTCTTCCCCTTTTCCCCCTTTCCTCCTTTCCCCCCTCCCCCTTTTCCCTTCCCCCTTTTCCCTTTTCCCTTCCCCCCTTTCCCTTCCCCATTTCCCCTTTTCCCTTTTTCCCTTTCCCCCTTCCTCCTCCTTTCTTCCTCTTTTCCTCCTGCCCGTTCTTCACCCTTTCTTTTTCTCCTTTCCTATTCACCTTTCCCCTTCCTTTACAACTTCTTCTCCCCTTCTCATTCCTTCCTCTACTCTCTACCAGGCGAGTACCCTGGTCCTGGCAGAGGGTGTGCCCTGAGTGACCTAATTACTCTGTTTCCATCTCAGCATTTTACGGTTTCATGAATTTTTCCTCTGTTACAAACAGGAGAGAGAAAAAAMMAMCCMAAAAATAAAGGGCAAACACAAGCAAGAGAGAGGAAAAAACCTGAGGTGATGGGAGGACTTGGCACGGCAGGAGTGGGCGAGGGGCTGCACTGAGCCCCCAGTGCCCCTCACCACTGCCTTTCTGTAGGACTGTGTGGTGTCTGCTGCACCCAGAGCCTGCAAGGTGCCCTCATCACCCAGCAGGAAGATATTGGGGTGCTGAGCTGAGGAGCTGGTGGGACACAGGGGCGCTGGGATGTGGGAGTGGGTTACGCTCTGCCCCAGCCCCACAGTTCCACACCCGTCAGCACTTCTGCACCCCAGAAGTGGCATGGCCCCCGACAGAACGGCTGGGATGGGGAGGGGGGACAAAGGCAGGGAAGGTAGAGAGGAAGAGAGAGTAATTTAACATGACAGGCTGTTTATTTTGGCAAAAAGGGTCTCTTTTCAACACATTTCAAAGCCCGGCCCTGGGGCCTGGGGGGACCACACAGAGGGGTGGGAGATGAGGGGTTCGAGATGGGGGGTTCAGTGGGGCACCCGGGCTGAGAGGGAGGGGGAAGAATCCCCTGCCTGTTCATCCCTGGGGTATGGCCAGGTTTCCAAAGCCCTGGGTGAGCTGGCACGGTCCAGCGGGGTGTCCCCTCCCGATTTTCGGTGTCCCCACGGGCGCCCGCACGCACATGCTTGCCTACACGCATCCGCACACATTCGCACGCTCCCCCTGGCCCTGCTCCTTCCTCCAGGCCAGGGCTCAGCTGGAGTTTTGGCTTCCCCCAGCAACGTTTCAAAATAGGCTGTTTATTAAAAAAAAAAA